GATATGAGAATAAAATAATCAAAAGCACACTAAGGTGAACCCTTCCCCATCTTTATTCTTATTAATACATTCCTATATCTAAAATAAAAAAAGAAAAGATTAAAAAAGAATACACATAATGTAGAATAAACGTACATGAGTAGAGTACTTCAGCCCTTTCTTCTGATGGGAAAACCTGCCCCCAAGGGTTTTTTCTATAGCTCTGACCACCTTCTTATTCAATATTCATTGGCTACCCAATGAGCCACGCGTGCAGGTTTGGAGTCACACGCAGAGAAAATAAGAAGACGACATTAATGAGAACCCGTGACACCAGCAGAAAACAAAGGAGGTTGCATTGTGCATGGCTTTAAGGCAGAACCCTAATTGCTCAAAAAAAAGGCAACACACAGGGAATAATGAAAAAAATTTAGAAAAAATAAAAGTTTTGGTTTTGATGGTGTTTGTATTGAAACGTGAGACAGAGCAGAAGGTGCAGTGCAGTGGATTGGTGCGTTTTCGACAGAAGGAAATGAATCGGCAGATCGATAGGGTTACTTGAATTTGGTATTTTCTCCATCCTCGTCATCATCTTTCGCCTAACCGAGTTTTTCTCGTGACTTCTTAGCGGCGGAGCCTCGGAAACCTCATGCTCCTCATCAATCAAATATTAGGGTTTGGAATGTTTCAGATTCTCACAATTATATCACTTTTAATTTACCTCAGTCTATTAAATACTTATTAAAGAAATAATGTTGAATATTTAAAGGTTACCTGTATCCTGTATTGCAGAAGAAGGAAGATGATGAAATTATTTTGTTAAGTATTTAATACACCCAATAATAAATATGATCAATATATGTTTATATGAAACTGATAAATATATTTTAATTTCATTTTATGGATGAAAAATGTTTTTGGTTGGTTATTGTTTCAGTTTTAAAAGTGGTTTTACCTTACATGATTTTTTTTAGGGACTTTTGTATTTTAATTGGAAGTTTCAAACAAAAACTCTTGTTTAATTAAATATACTAATTCAAATATGCTAATTCAAGGTACTACCTACTTCTCTTTTAATATCTAATTAACTTAAAAGAGATTATATTTTTCTCTATTCAAAAAATAATTTATGTTCATTTTGTTGTCATCTAACATCATGTAATGGTAGTAAGATATCTAACATGTATTATTTAATTGTGAAGAGTCATGCCATGCACTTATATAATCAAAATAAAAAAAAATACCAAACAGAGTATCAATATGTAAGAGAACTCTTCAATCTTCTCAAATTCTGATGTCCTTAATAAACAAAACAAAATCTGTTTTTAAGTTATAGGTTTAATGATATAAACTCAATCTCTAATACATATATATATATATATATATATACACACACACACGTACGTACGTATATGCTAGATTTGTGCACGTATGTGCAAATAACCACTAGAGAAAACTACAATATAAAAAAAAATTGTATGAATGTGCTGTTGGAGTGCATGGACATCCAAATCTAGACTATCACCAGATCTAAGTTAAGAGAATGTTATTGCACAAGCCTAATTATATGTGACCTTGGAGAAAATAAAATCTATATATATTAATTGAATTTGTCCAAAACTTAATCTATTTGAAAAAAGACCTGGTATATGTCAAAATAAATTTATATTTATTAGATTATTTGTTTCACTGTGAATTTAATTTGAATTAAGTTGTGTTGAAAAACAATATTTTTAATATATTAAAATGCAAAATTATTTAATTCATAGTTAACTTTAAATATAGGAGGGTTAAATCAACTCATAAAAGTCATCATTGATTATATTGTAAGATATATAGGTTAAAAACAAACAAATTTGATTCTATTGTAATAAATATATAAAATAAAGAAATAAAGTAGTATCAATAAAATAAGCAAAATATAGAATCAAATGTATGTAATACACTATTGTAAAACTATATATCTTCTAATTAGTTGGGATGTATTTTTGAATAACTTTATTATTTTATTATTGATATTAAGTTCTAATGAAGAATCTATAGAAACAAAAGTATAAGTAAAACATTAACTATTTATTTTAATTAACCATTAATTAGTTTTTCAATTATACATTCATCTAACGCACGCGTAATTAATAAGCTAGTTCTATTTCCAAAACCTATTAATTATTAATTAGTTATAGTTGTACTAATAAGAGACCATAAATACATACACAATTAATTTGATAGGTAATTGACATTAGAAAAAAAAAACCTTAGTGGATAGAATTAGGTAGAAAAAATGTTGTTGGAAAGTTGAGATGGATGAGTTTGGCATTTGGGAAACTAGGGTTTTAATTTTATGGATAAAGCATGTTTCCTTTTGAAGTGGATGGACGGAGGAGGTTGTGGTCTTTGATATTGTGGTTTGAAGGATACCATTTTTGTCTTTTTGGAGTGGGACTTGGTTTATTAATTTGTCTACTCTTTATAGTCTTCTACGTACTCTTTCTTCCCAAATGTGAAAAGGTACCCCAAACCCCACTCATGTCCACTTCTCCAACACACATTTCACAAAACAAACACTTTCTCACAACAATTAACATATTTTCAAATCTATTTAAATAGAATCATTAACAAATAATGTTAATTGATGTAAAATTTCCAAGAAAAATAAAATAAAATAATTTTTTGTTGATCTTATTTTATGTGTGTATGATTGATTTTGATTAAGGTTTGGGAGGAGTTTGTTGTTAGAAACTAGGACATTAATTAATCTGGCAACAAAGTTTCTTGAATGGTGTAGATCATGAGATTAAAGTGTTTAGAGTAAATAAAAGGAGCATTCTACATTTGACTTTAAATCTATTTTTGGGTATGGTGTGAGGTGGGGTTTGGGTATGTACCTTTGTGTTTGGGATACTGATGGAACCACACCTTCTTTTGCTTAACAAGCATAACCAAGTGGGAGGATTCGGAGTCTTATGGAAAAAAAGAAAACCGAAAAACAAAAAGGAACTTCAAACAGGAAAAAGAAAAAGAGAAAAAGGAAAGTGAAAGACACACAAAAAATTATACCACAAAAAGAAACTCAATGAGAGAGAAAAACAACTGTGACCAAGTTTTTCTTTTCTTTTTCTCATTCTTAAAATATAGATAAGAGAAAAAAAAAGGAGGGGTTGTTCTAAAAGAGAAAAAAGAAAACGAAAAATCTCTATATTACTCGAGTTTTATTATAAAAATCAATATTTTTTTTTCTTTTTAAGAATTCCAAACATCAATGTTAAATATAATTTTTTATAACTTTTCTTATTTGTATTATTAGTTATAGTCAGTTTAATGTTAAAAATAGAAAAAAATTAATTAGAATAATTTTAAAAAGTTAAAAAAATTAAACTAAATTGATTATATATTTTAGAAACGAAATCAAACATAATTATTTAGTAGAAATAAGACAATTATATATACATATATATATAATAAAATAATTACGTTTTATTTAAATGTTGCTATTTATTTTCTATATAAAATAATTTTTAATATAATAAGCAGGAATTTATTTCTAAAATCAGCACTGTTTTATGCTTTTATAATTATATGTAATATTAAAAAAAAAAGCTTATTGGATATATAGCAATTTAGAATTAGATAGTGCTGTAATTGTTTTTACTACGTTCTTTACTTTTTTTAAGTAACAAAGTGGTTTATTAAAAATATTCTTTACACTAAAAAGTGATTTTCGACTTTAATCTTTAATATTTTTAAAACTATCACTTTAATTAATTCATACAAATATAACATGAGTCCTCATCGAAAACATATCTTTATTTAATGAATGGAAATAACAAATTAGAAAATACATACTATACATTAAATATGACGACTATTCGATATCTCTAATATATTTATTTTAAAAATAATAAATGATATATACCTATTAAAAAGTGTATAGTTATTCTTAAAAATATAATACATATATACTTTTTATTTATAAATCTAAATTAGAATTATATATATATATATATATATATATATATATATATATATAAAATGTCAATATAAACTATTATAAATTATTTATAAGTATTGGTAAAATATCTTTAAATATTTAAGTAAAAGATGTATGAGACACGAATACATAACCAAGTTAGAGTATGGATATATCATAAATACAACTTACACATAAATTTAATGCGTTTTGCTAACATTATTTTAACTAACATTATTATTTATTTACAATTTATTTTAAATGCCATTTATTATCATTCACTTTATTTTTATTAAAAAAGGAAACTTCCCATTCAAAGACTCCTAATACCAACTGATAGCACAATAAAATATATTCATAAAAAACATAGTAATAAAAGAGAGTAATAACTCATGCACTTAATGTGGCATACATTTAATAACCCAGGATAAAAAGAATTATAATATTAGAGGCATTCTTAAGAATATCTTATATAATAAATGCAAATGCGCCACTTCCTGCAGCAAGCAAAAACACACGAATACTCAGATATATTCAATCAACAATATTACCTAAAAAAACATATAACAGATTAAATAATTACTTAAAATAATGCTCTAATTTCCTGCACGTCTTTTATAAACAGCTTATGATTAAAATTACTTCAAAGAAAAATCTTACGTGAAATCATCAATTTTACTTGAACAAATTAATTTAGCTTCAAATCAACTATAATTATTCTAAACTAAATATAACCAAAAATACTAATATTTTTCATGGCATAATAACTAGTAATGAATGATGAATATATTCTTTTCATCATCGTTACATTTGACTTAATTTATTTTGATGTATTTAGTTATAGCATATTAATGACATAAATATTTAAACATTAAATAACTAACGTATATGGAAATTTGTAGACTAAAACTGTATTAGTGTATTATATATATATATTTGTATAATAAGGTGAGTAATGTAGTAAGGAATAAAAAAATGGCTGTATTAATTAATACCGAGCAGAGTATACGTTTTCCTTTTTGATTTTATATTTATATTTAATTTCCCTCAGTGAGTCCCTCTCTCTCTATCTCTCTCTGGCACTTCACTTTCTCTGTGTCCGTTGGAACCAAACAGTTCCTTCTCTCTCTTTCTCTGTCTTTCTCTATGCTCCTTTCTCTGTCACACACAGAACACCCTTCTCTCAATTCCTCACTCCATTTTTTCACTCTCACGGAGTTAGTTATTTACTCACAAACAAACACTCCCTAATACCTTCTTCATCTTCTTCTACTTGTTATTCAAGTGTAACATGACCACACTCGTTACTATCTCACACTACCATTCATGAATCCTACTACCACTCAACCCCCACCGCCTTCGTTGCCACCGCTGTCGCTTCCACCACCGCCGCCTCAGCTCCAGCCTCACCGCCCCTCCACCTCCTGCGACCGCCACCCTCAGGAGAACTTCACCGGCTTCTGCCCTTCATGCCTCTGCGAGCGCCTCGCCGTGCTCGATCCCAACTCTTCATCTTCTTCCGCCGCCGCACGCAAGCCTCCGAGCTCCTCCGCCGCCGCTGCCGCCCTTAAGACCATCTTCCGCTCCTCCGTCGCCTCGCGCCGCCCTCCTCCATCCTCCCTCCCGGAGCTCCGCCGCACGAAGTCGTTCTCCGCCTCCAAAAACGAAGCCCTTTCGGGTTTCTTCGAACCGCAGAGAAAATCCTGCGACGTAAGAGGTCGCAGCACCCTGTTCACCCTCTTCAACCAGGAAGCAGAAGTCGAAACGCGCCACCTCCCCTCCTCCTCCGTGGTTCAGAAACCCGTCCTCGAGTCCGAAGAGGAAGACGACGACGAAGACGACGAAGAAAAAGACAACATTGTCGTTCACGACGTAACCGACATTAAAGTTCCCGAATCTCCTCAACCCCAACCAGCTCACGCGGAAACTAGAGTTTCAGAAATCGTAGAAGAGGAATCAGAAACAGTTCCTGAACCCGCAGAAGCTGACGTGGCAGACGAAGAGGCTCTGAAGGCGATGAAGGACCACATGGATCTGGACTCACAAACGAAGAAAACCTCTGGTCGAGACCTTAAGGGAAGTTTCTGGTCCGCGGCTTCGGTCTTCAGCAAGAAGCTTCAGAAGTGGAGGCAGAAGCAGAAGATGAAGAAGCGTGAGCGGAACGGCGTCGTTGTGGGCTCCGGCACTCTGCTCCCTGTCGAGAAGCCCATTTCTCGCCAATTCCGCGAAACGCAGTCGGAGATCGCCGACTACGGCTTCGGCCGCCGCTCCTGCGACACCGATCCGCGCTTCTCGCTCGACGCCGCGCGAATGTCGTTCGATTTCGAGGAGCCGCGCGCCTCCTGGGACGGTTATTTAATGGCTAGGACTGCGCCTACTTTGGCCGTTCCTCCAAGGATGCCTACGATGATCGAAGACGCGCCGGCGCCAGTTCAGGTTCTCAGGACCGATTCCCTTATTCCCGTGGAGGAGCCTGAATATGAGGAGACTCTCACTCTTAATCTTAATCAAAATATTAATTTTAGTGTTAATCATAATGTTAATGCTAATCCTAATCTCCCTGGTGGTTCTAATCAGACGAGGGAGTATTATTCGGACTCTTCCTCGCGGAGGAGGAAGAGTCTTGATAGGTCTAATTCAATTAGAAGGACTGCTGCTGCTGTTGTTGCTGAAATGGACGAGTTGAAGAGTGTTTCGAATGCCAGTGCTACTACTAATGCTAAGGTTACTCCTGCTGCTTCTGCTGATTATGTGCACAATCCCTTGAGGGACTCCAATTTGAATTCGAATTCTTTGAGGGATGATGGTTGTGAGAAAGGGGCTTCCAAGAAGTCATCGAGCCGGTGGAGCAAGGCGTGGAGTATATGGGGATTGATTCACCGGAGAGGGAGTAAGGAGGAGGATGGTGGAGGGAATGGGAATGGGAATGGGAATGGCGTGGAGAGGTCGTACTCAGAGTCATGGCAGGAGTATAGAGGTGGGGAGAGAAATGGGGATGTTAGAGGTGGTGGTTTTAATCCGAAGATGATGAGGAGTAATAGCAGTGTGAGTTGGAGGAATGGGCAGGGTTTAGGTGGTGGAGGGTTTGGAAGTGTGAGTATGAGGAAGAGTGATGTGCAGGGGAATGGGCTTGGCCTTGGGCTTGGTGGTGGTGGTGGTGGTGGTGGTGGTGGTGGAAGGAAGGGGAGGGATGAGTTTGTTGGGTTGGAGAGGAACCGGAGTGCAAGATACTCGCCAAACAGCATCGATAACAATGGTCTCCTGAGGCTCTACTTGGGCGGCCGGAGAAACGGGTCCGGGAAAGGAAGGTCGAACCAGGCACATTCTATAGCCAGGAGCGTTCTCCGGCTGTATTGAAAAGTTGAAGGTGGTCTTTGGTTTGATGCTATTAGTTAGTTAGTTACATTTGGTGCATTTGTTTGTGTAAAACTACACATGCTGCCTATGTATTCTTGATGGTTGGTTACTGGTTACTGGTTACTGGTTACTTGGTTGGTATAACAGCACCTGCAGCTGCTGCAGCTGCATCTTTCTTTTTTACAGTCAATATGATGGTTCTTTCTTCAGTTACTCTTAATAATAACAAGAATTTTAATTTTTAAACATATATGTGATGGTGGTTGTGTTGGTGACATTGATTTTGTTCATGGTGTTATGTTTTGGTTTATTGCCAGAAAAAGGCGTGACTGATAGATATATGGCGCCAGTGAAATTTGTGCTTTGTTTGCCTTTGGACTAGGCGTGTTTTCTTTTTCTGTCTTTATGCTGCAAAAGGGTGGCTGATTGGTGGTGTGAGGTTGGGGGTCTTATAATTTGGGAGCATTTGCACTTGAATTTTTGGCATGTTATGCGTTCCTGCAAAAGGGGTAGCAAGGTGGGCTCGTGCCACCTGGTTTTGCTGCTTATCATAAGTTGTAGTTTTGAGTACAACACGATAGCCGTGGTCGAGTGCTTTTACTTTTCCTTGATATCAATTAATCAAACTTTATTACATGTGAGTCACTACAGACCATGGTCCCAGCCAAACGTTACATTTGCTTTGTTCTACCGAGATATCTTTAGTCCTTTCCATGCTGGTGTAACTATAATTCGAAACTCAACATTTTTTCTTAGTTAACAATTGTGCAGAGCTTCCTTTTTCTGTATAGTGTTGTCACTTACCCTTTTTAAACAATGGTTTTCGAAGCCTGGTTCTAGTTTTTTTATGGACGTTAAGACATCTGCAAGAGTAAAACTAAGAATTGCAGTATTTCACGTTGTAAAAGAACAATTTTACAGTCTGTGTTGAAGCTATGAACTTTAAAACGAGGAATATTGCAACTAGCAACATTACTTGAAGCTTGATATGCCTTTCCTTGATGTAGAGGTTATTTAGTATGGAGAAAGGTGCTTTGCTCCTATGTTCCCGTTTAAAAAATGTTTCTATGAATCTATCGATAGCAGTTTAATTCTGGTTACTTTACCAAGGGTTTTGCTTCTATGCAATGAAAACTGTGTTATTAACTGTTTCTGTTTATTTGAATATCATTACTAGGACCTTTTTTTTGGTTCTTTGGCGCATCCATCGATGTGCCTAATTTGTGGTTGTCCTAAACCAATTCGAGAAGGGATATTATGTCCGATACAAGGGTGGGTCTACAATAAACAATAACACAGTATGCGAGTTATGAAGAAGAAAAGGTGAGAGAAGGGAATGCTAGTTTCAATCAAGCGTATATCCAAGGTAGGCTCGTAAACTAGCACAGTGTAAATGATTAATAAGAAATTAAAAACAGCTTATTATATATCAGTGTATACTTCGATTTGCATTATGTGTTTGTGGACGACCAAATTAAGTCAACTTTTGCATATATCTGGAGCGTTATGCATAGATAGATGATAAACATAACCTTGATGTTTGGGTAAAAGGACTCTTTAAACTCTCAGAAGTCAAAAGAAGTGATTCTTCTACTTTATTTTTTCTTGGGAAATAAAAGAGGCGTGTATGATAAAATGGGCGTTTTCCGTTTATTAGTCAACACAGAAGCAATATAATAAAAATGATGTACCAATAGTATTATTTTTACTTCAAAGTGTTTACTTGAATGGAGAATAATTAATAAAAATCCAATGGGTATTTATAAAAATTACTCGTACTCTTTGTAGAACTTTTACTCATTAGATAAGTCTAAATCTATATTATTTGACAAAATATACTCTTGTCCTATTTTATAACCATAATTAGAAAAAGATATTGATTTATCACAGAAAAAAGAAAGTAAGAAAGAATAGCTATCGAGTTATATCCTCCCATTGATCATGCAAGTTAGTTTGCCTAAGTTATTTAACTTAATTATTGAAGGTAATTGGAGTTTTAATACTTGAAAAGGCAATTAAAGTAAAAATTTAGAGTGATAACTTTGTTGTTTATGGTAATCTAATTTAGTTGAATGCTAGCATGGTGTCCAAATAATGACAGTTCTGGATCATAAGAAAATGTGTTCAATATTGCTGTTTTTAGAAATCTTTTTCTTTATTAGCTTTGTTTGAAATAATTTTAGTATTGATATAGTGTTTTTGTTTTGCTAATTTATAAAGAAAGACGTTAAAAAGGCAATAACACATTTCATTTAATCAAAACTTGACTATATATGGATATATTTAGGCACTAAAATCATTTTTTAAAAATATTACACTTTGAGTAAAGAAAAAAACAACAACTTGGTAAAAGAACTTAAAAGATAATCCAATATATTATAGTAATTATTGTTCATGCATCATAATTTAGTATAATATCTAGGGTATAGCTTTTTCTATCTTGGGTTTATAACTTGGAAGTGCCTTACGTGGCCTAACTTGATCGGTGTTATCGGGACAAAATTACAAAAGAAATGAATAATGGAAATAGATGGGACCAAAATATAGGAATTTTGTTTTCAAGTACACACAAGAAACAAGAATTTGATGAAGATCTGTAATTTGATAAACAACTTATTATAATCTCTTCTGACACCAAATTTCATAACCAGTTTATTCTTTTAATGTAAATTTTTATATAATTTTTTATCCCCAAGATTTTCTCTTTAAAGTTTAGTTTTCTTCAAATATCAAAACCTTTTGATTTCGACATAATGCAACAAAAATAAAAGGAAAGAATGAAGGTGAAGTTTGTGATATGTGAAGTCGAAAACATGAGACACTTTGAACCCTAGAAAGGTGAAATGCAATGGGATAAACAGAAATTATTAGAAGCTAATGATTGTTGCTAAACACATATATAAGATCATTGTGTTGTCGCAGTGGGAGAGATATATTGAAATAATGAAAATGATCTCATTTCAATTACCAAGTCTGAGATTTATGCTTTCTCACTTTTCCATACAGTTATGTAAAGCTCCATTATCACCGAGTTTGCCGCAAAAGTCAAAAAGCATGAGAAAAACATCTCAGCATGTTGCTATAAGGTGGAGAAGATAAGAGATAAAGAAAGTAAGTGATGCAAAAAAAGAGGCTCGAAACCCAATGTTTTCTCTGTAATCTCCATCCGCATTTTTTCCACTGGAGATGTTATTATTTCTTTTAAGGTAATTCTAACCCCTCACATAATGTAATTCAATTATTATACCAAGTTAATTATAACATCAATAATACGTTAATATATATATTTAAATATTTTAAATCTCCATCATAAATTTCATATTAAAACTTGTCAAATTTTATCATCAGAACATATATGCATTTCCATGGGAAACTTGTCAAATTTCTCTTGAAATATTCATGTTTTCTAGCTCTATGTCAATTTAGTTATTATTATTACTGTTATATACTTTTACGTCTCAAAACTAAATATTGAAGTTAAAAGTTGATAACTTTTGTTTCCATGATAGGAAATTAATAATTTTAATAAATAAACTATAATATTGTAAAATTATTTCAATTTAATTTGTTCTATTTCAGGTAGAAAAAATAAATTTCAATTGATATTTATTTATGGTGGAGAAACTAAACTGACATAACTATTTCTTGGGTCTTTGGAAGTGTGAAAGAGATTACTTGTACTGTTAAAACTACTGCAATAAAAAAGACATTACAACAGTCATATTAATTATCTAATATTTAATACTTTATGTAACAACATTTCTCTCCATTTTGTTTGGTTTGTATAATTTCATAACAGTTGTTTTTAAGACATGAATTTTGTTTCATTCATTAAAGTCTTTTCAATTCACACAGAAGTTCAATGATATATAGAACATATTCAAATAACTTAACTATCTATCAAACACTTCTTTCTTTTCTTCTCTCTCCTATATATATATATATATATATATATGAGTTGTATAAATATAAGTTCTCAGGAGCTTATTGTTGTTTTATGCAGATACCTCTCATATGCAGTTGTTTCCTTGATTTGGAGCCTAACCTTCCTCAACTCAAGCACTGACCTTAACTTGTTCCAGTAGCTGTAAAGATCTCTGTAACCAAGACTGTTAACCAAAGAAGGGTTAGCTTTCATAACTATGTATGTTCTGCTTCTCAATGAGGTACTGTTTTATGCTACCTGCATATTCTCTATTTCAAAAGCTCGAAAAATAACAAAAGGTACGCATTTCAATTCTCAGATTCTTATTCTCTATTCTACTGGCTTTCTATAGTTTCTTTCGACTTCATGCACTGTGTATATGCAGTATGCTTCATTCCCAGTTTTCCATGCATGCTGATTCTTCATGTTGTGCATATATGAAACTGTACATTTTCTCTTCAATCTAGAATCCTACTACTTAAGCAGGTTAAAGTTTTAGTTTTTCATGCCTTCTTTATTTTACATTGATAATTTGGTTTGAGACTATTTTCTTTTACTTTCTTAAACAGGTAGACCTCTCAACATTTTCAGTTTTAATAATCTACCACTTGTCAATAAAGCTCAAACAATTCAACCAGGAGTACCTGTCAATTCTTTTTTTTAAGTGTATAAAATTTTTTGAAAATATCAAATACATATAATATATATTCAAAATAAAAAAAAAGTAATTTTTATTCATGTATTAAATTATACATATATAAAAAAGTTTGGAAGAGCCAAGACCCCAGATCTGCCACTGACTATGTTGTAAATAATTTTAAGGTTTAATTGCTTCCTTTGTCCCCAGTTTGGTTGAATTGTGTCAAATTCATCCTCATTTTTAAAAAAGTTTCATTGTCATCCTCACGTGGTGTATAAGTTTCATTGTCGTCCTCACGTGGTGTAAAAGTGTCAATTGAATCCAAACATAGAAAAAATTTGTGTCAAAGTAGTCATTTTTCCTATATATCTGTGTCTTCCTTTCATACAATCAAGTACAGATATTCATTTTACCTTATCCAATTTAAGGCTTTTCATAGCTCCAGAGAAGTGACATATGAAAGGAAGACACAGAGATATAGGAAAAATGACTACTTTGACACAAATTTTTTCTATGTTTGGATTCAATTGACACTTTTATACCACGTGAGGACGACAATGAAACTTTTTTAAAAATGAGGATGAATTTGACACAATTCAACCAAACTGGGGACAAAGGAAGCAATTAAACCTAATTTTAATGATCCATAACTATGTATGGCAAATCAAAGCTCAAATCTTTATTA